GGAGGGAACCTCGTCCAAAACTTCTCCCTGGGATCAAAATCCCCCACTTTGAGCTCTCTCAGTGAACCTGGCTTCCCAACAGAGTAACTGAAACCGAAAAATTGTACAACCAACATTTCAAATGACATTCTAGAGGCAAAAACACCAGCTAACCAGCAAGACATCGAGCCATCTACCTGATGCCCAATTGAAGGCTCAACATCAGATCATAGTTCTTATGGCCCTTCAATATAGTCTGCCCTGGCTTCTTCGCCTCCTTTGCCGACAAGCAACATGGGCTCCGCCGCGGTGGCACACTACCAATGAGTGCATGCCCGGCCTGATCGGAAGACAAGTCATCCTGGCAAAGCATCGCCGCCTCGATTGTATCAAGAATATCGCATGTAATGTCTCCGGCCTCGCCTTCGGATTCCCAGATACAGATCCTGGGGAAGTTCTTATCCGCGGTGGAGCTCTTCCTCCCCAGTACTCCATCCACCGACGATCTTTTCCTCGACGCTGGTACCAGCGGCGGCAACACAAATGCGTCATCCAAAGGCGAGAAAGGGCTCCTTTTTCCGGCGATCTCCTTCCGGTCGGCAGTGACGGCAGGGTAAAAAGTTCCGTTGAGGCTCTTCTGATCACCTTTACCCCAGCTACCAACGTAGCAGCTGCCGTCGGGCCACGTGAACACGCCGCTCCCTTTCGGGACGCCGTTCTCCCAGTGGCCGTCGTAGCGGTTGCCATTTGCCCAGACTAGCGCCCCCCGACCAGAGATGACCCCGTTTCGCCACTCTCCGACGTACTGGTTCCCGTTGCGCCATACGTACCGGCCACGACCCTCCTGGAGGTTGCGCCGCCACCCGCCCTCGTAGTAGTCGCCGTTGGCGTACCACTTGCATCCGTACCCGTGCTTCCGGTCGGCGACCCAGGAGCCACGGTAGGTGTCGCCTTCCGACCCAGTGAAGGTCCCGAAGCCCTCCATTCGTCCGGAGCGGAACTCGCCCTCGAACGTCGCGCCAGAGGTCCAGGAGAACTTGCCCTTCCCGGCGGCCTTTCCCCGCCGCCACTCCCCCTCGTACATGCACCCGTCGGCCCACAGGTACTTCCCCCGACCCTGGGGGGAGTTCCCGATGAAACCCCCGGTGTACATGTCACCGTTAGGGAGCACCTTCTCCACCACCGCCACCGTCGCGTCCTCTTCCGGGGAACCGGCGGCAGGGGTGACGGGGGCGACTCTCCGGCCCCCGACGCCCTGAGATCTACTCCTGGAGTGGAAGATCACCTCCGCCTGCGCCGCCGGTGGGACCGCCACCACCACCGGCTTGCCTACATCCTCCGCCGCCGCGTCCCCGCCTCCAGCGCCGAGTCCGGTGGCGTCGCCGTCACGTCCAAGCCGCCGCATTCTCCAATCGAGACCCCTAATCACCTCCAATCGCACCCCACATTCGTCTTCAGATCGAAAACACGCCCCCTCCGCTCCTCCTCCGAGGAGCTTCGATTCGACAAAGAGGAGATACGGGATCGAACCCAAGAACCCGAGGAGATCACGAACGGAAACCCAAAGGAAGAAAAGGAATCACTACAGCTCAAGCAAGTAAAAGAGAAGAGAAGAAGAGGAGGTGGCCGTCCGTGGCTTCGCTGTGTCTTTTGTTTTCTTTTGCCTTTCGCTTTGCTCCGGTTCGGTAATAATGCAACCCGAAGGCACGGCAGCGTGGCCGTTCGTGTAACGAATTGACTAAAATACCCTCCTCAACATTTGACTAAAATACCCTCCGCTATCCTAAAGCACGCATTTCTTATTCGTCGTGGGGACACCGCTTGCTCGTCCAACCACTTTTACGAAATTACCCCTACCGACCGGTCTACAACCCCACAACGACCTCCGTCGTTATATATATAATATATTCATATAGAAGATGTCTCTTTACGGCGTCATGTAAAAGAAGGAACGGCCGTTTTATGATCGTGCAATGGTTGGTCGTAACAGTGGCCACGAGAAGATTCCCTCGGAAACAAACAGGCAGACCGAATCACCGCTGAAAACTGCCACGCGTCGGTCGGGTCCCACCCAGGTGAGTGACGTGGTCCATGACGGTCTTTTTCTTTTGTCATGGCCCTTAAACCTGGACCGGACCGGATCGCTGGATCCCATAAAAATCGAAGACCCAAACCTGGTTCGTTTATTTGTATTATTATTATTTATTAGAGTAATCACGATGCCTTTAAATATCGATACATTCATTAATATTTGCCTTTTCAAATATATTTTTTTGTTTTTAAATAAAAATTAAATATTTTCTCAAAGCATGTATGCATTACGATCACTTTTGTTAGGAAAGTTAATTAAGTCGTTTAGGCAGAACCAATTAAATCCCCATAAACAAATATTATAGGACAGTAGAAGTTTTTATTATTGAAAGCACGAGAGGATTATGTTTGTAGAGGTGTTCTCTTCCTCGACGACAGGAGATCATTTGTATAAACCTCTTTACCAGGTATAATTTGTTGGGAATGATAGAGGTGGGTAACGATTCATACTGACATTTCCAAATGATTGGAAGGTGAGAGAGAATCAAATTGGGAATAGGAATTTTAGACATCAACCTACCTAATAATGCAATTATATGCTCATAATCATTAAACTTAGAGAAGGGAGACGGAGGTATAAATGTCACCTACAAATTTAGGTGTATTATTATGGTGTACAGCGTCTTTTTTAGTCGGTGATGTTGGCACCACCTCTTCGATTTGCATTGTCTAATTATCTCTTTCTTTTTCTTCAAATAACTCATTCAATAAAAAAATTTGTCAGCTTTCTATTATAAGCTTCCATGTCGTAGTATATAATATGTTGAAATAGATGTTTAGTTTGACAAGTGGGGGTATGCTGATAATGTAATTTATGTTGTAGTATAATAATATATGATAAAATAATTTATACAATAAAATAAAATATAAAAATTATCATTAAATAAATTTATTAAGAAATAATTTTATTCATTAAGATAATACATATTTATACAAGAAGAGATTTTTCTCATTCGCATTGGTAATGATGTAGTCATAGGAAAAAATATTATATATTTATGATGAATATTACAAACCATAATAAAATCACTGAACAAAATAATCGATTACTTTTTGATAGGAAAAGGAGAACGATCGTCAAACTATCCATAGAGTGATGTGATTTCTCATCGAAGAAGAGCAGTGGATACTATATGATTGAGGTTGTCGATCATTAGCAATGATAGCAAGGCGTAATCAGCATAGACAACTAACTGAAGGAGGCATTGAGGGAGGTTTAATCAGCAAATCTAGGATCTATGTCAAAAGAGGCATTCAAGGACACCAGCGATAGCAACATTCATGATCGATGAGAAGATTAATGATCGGCTGTAAAGATAGCAAGGATGACTACGACGACAATCGCATAGTTGATGTGGAAGTAGACGGGATTCATATGGAAGTATCGAGCGATTTATAGATCTATGATAGTATCGGTATTTACGAGGAAATCTAGGTGGGAGAAGGTAAAACAATCAACAAGCTTCGATCACGAGCAATAATTGAAGAAGGAGCAATGGGGTCGAAACGACAAGAGACGAAGAGACAAAATGTTGAGGTTACATATGGGGCCTTAAAGAGGTAACGACAATGAGGGAGGAGGCTCTCTCGAGGAACTCTATTTACTGTTATAGTGATAGCAATGACGACAGATGGTAAGAAAATTATTGTCGTTCGGTAGATTAACAAAATTCGACGGAAAAGGGATGTGGAGAGAAAAAAGAAAAAAACTTTTACTTAAAGGATTATATTATATGAAAAGTTTTGTTATGAAAAAAATGATTTTGCTCGCTGAGATAATAAATATTTAGGGAGAGATTTTTCTCAATCATATGCTTAAATTATATATTTAAATTTATAATTAATCTTTAAATTATAGATTAATTAAGGATTAAATTATACAATCAATATAGTATTATCATTCCATATTTACCTATATTATGATTTTCTATTAATCATCTCTTTCAACCCCTACAAATAGATTTTTATATTCGATTATGTTGTTGATGTACGGTTTCTGGAATATGAGGCAAATAATTCAGTTGACCGAATTATTATTTTTCTCTCTTTTATATATTCAAATAATATAGGACAATATAAAACATATCATATGATTGAATCTACGTATCAGCTCGCTTGCACACCCATTCTTAATGAAAGATATTTTTGATTCCCTGTCCACATTGCTTGTCGTGTTCCTATACTCACCTAAATTACAACTCTTAGCTTCGCTTGAAACTAATCGAACAGATTTCTTGGTAATTTTTTAAAAATATATTTTTATTACCTCTAATTGAATGGATAAAAAGATGAATAAATAGATTAGCTAACCCTATCATTTTGTTAGTACGAGGCAAATCCATATTCTCTCCCACTCATTCGAAATCATAAAATCTCGCCACGTATGCACTTGTCCGGCCCGTACACCACTTTGCCATGATTTTAACCGATGAATTTAAATTTTATCTTCAATTATGTTTTACAAGTGCTATATATTTTTTTGAAGTCCTCCCATCATGATTGTCCCTCCAATGTTGATTTTTATATTTATCCCTCTGAATTTAAGTGTTATATAATAATAATAATTGCATTACATATTATTATTATTATTATTATTTGTAGTTGGTTGTCAGTTGCTGATTCATTGGTAACTCTAATTTAATGATAACTAGTTTACTTGGTAAAAAAAAAAAATATTTTAAGATGTCAACCGGAGAGGTACATGTGGAACATATTAATATTCGGATGAAAATATTATTATATTATAATCTATATGACAAATGCACCATTTTTAGACTTTCCAAGAAAAATATAATAATAATATCTTTATTCAACGTGTAAGAATAACATCCATACGCGGCTTCATATCAAGCCCAGCCCAAGAAAGTAGGAGCATTATTTCGGCTCACGATCGGTCCAAATTGGTTCATTTAAATCACCAAAACCGCACGGCGACCAAGCCCTGTGTTTCTTTTCTCGTTCCCTCGCCGTTCGGCGCCGGGAAGGAGAAGGGTCTTCGCTTCGATCGGTGGCCATCGGAGGAGGAGGAGGAGGAGATGAAGCTGTCGTCGAGGTGCCCGCGGATGGTCGTTCCGCCATCATCCGCCACGTCTGCTCCTTTCCGAGGACGCCGCCGACCACGCACTAGTATCGTGCTTTCTTTCCCTTTTGTGTTCCCCCTTTTATGATCAGCGTTGTTAATGCTCTTCTTCGTTTTGCCGGTTCTTGCGGGCCGACGACCGTTGTTTCCATATAGGGTTGGAAAAGGGTTAAGTGGATCGAATGAGGGAGAGAATCCTTTTCGATTGCTCCGGGGAAGTAGATGTCCGCTGGATAAGTTATTGGATTCTAACTGAGAAAGGCGATTCTTGCAATCGGTCATGATCTAACACGATCACATTCAGTTGTTCATTCCATGGTAAAGAAGATGTTACTCAGTTGCTGCGAAAAACTTGAGGCTGCAATTATTTATATATAGGTAGATCATGCCGTGATTTGCTTTTGGATTTTTAATGCATCTAGTTCTTTGTGAAACCTACAAGGTAAGAGTCGAGTCTGAGAAAAGTGATGCATTAATGAGCACATTACATACAAGAGATTCTAATGCAATGGCACCTTGCTCACGACAGCATTTTTTCTTTTCCTTTATGTGCCTCAGCATCTGTTGCTAGATATGACTTGCATCATTGCCTGGCCTGACACATCATACCTTGATCTTTTGTAATCTGTTTGTAGTTATACTGGACTATTCTTTTAGAGTTATCTTTACCTTTGATGTGCAAACGTTTGACATTGACAAACTCACCAATCGGATTCTTCAACACCAACCATCAGATGCCTAGTTTCCATTGCAATAACCTCAATCCAGCCAATGATAATTTTAACTTTCCATATGGTTCATTGTGCTTGAAATGGGTAATATCATAAATTAGCTCTTCTTCATTTGGAGAACTACTGAATGGTGCTTGTATTTGACTATAAAACTCTCAAAGGGAAGCTAGTTATAGTCTTGATTTTAGATTTGCCAGAATCAACTTTACTAACTTTATGGGCATTGTTTCTTTAGAGTGCATAGGAAGCTGATGTAGACAAATGAATATGCCATGTAAATTGGGTCTTGAACTTTGGCAATGATAAAAGTGAATTATGTAAAAATCAATACTCACTCGCTCCATCACAGAGTTTGTTGAACAGTTGTGGTCAGTATTACTTGAACAACTTTTTATATCTTTTAGGCATGGATTGAAAAATACATCATTCCTGAGGGGTAGATATTGAAATCTGCATGAACATTGTAGCCTTCCTGCATTCAACATCCTTTATACATCTTGCCAATTACCTTTAAGGCATAGAAATATATGTGTTTAGATGGACATCTACTATGAGTGGGATTCTTATGCTTTTTCTGCATAAGAAAAATTGTATTGATACGTATCTATTCAACTACAACAATGATGTTCTCTCGGGAGTGCTATTAGCAAACTATTTTGATGGTATTTGTTTTCTACGTACTTCCAACTTTAGAAATTTGCATCAGTTCTAGCCTTCCTGAATGCTTGTGTGTGCTTTAGATAATGTTATTTTAATTTACAAAATGAGTTTGTTTTGTCATATCAGGGATATTCTCCATGAGCCTATAAAGCATGGATCAAGGATTTGACACGATAAGTGGCACCAATAAATCTAGAAGCAAAAGAAAATTCATTTTTTTTAAATATTTAATATGTGGCAGCTTAATTTTTGTTTACATTACTACAGAATCAAAAACCATGAAACTTGACAAATGGGAACAGCTGACAAACAAGGATCCCTAGTTATTCATGAAGAGGAGTCTATTTCTACAACAAGATGCTATGCAATTTAGAAATAGTCTTCAACTAGGCAATATATCCTTTTGGTAGGCCACTATCTTAATTAGGATGAGGTTCCATAGTCATGTTATTGGGAGAGGCCTGCACCTTTGGTTTAACATATGGGTAAATTGTTCATAATTTCTGTTGAAGTGATAGTTTTTACACCTAGAACTGCTTCAAGGAGACGAAGAATGTACAAAGGACATAGATGTACCTTTTTGTGGAAGTGCATGATCCAGTGCTTAGGATGACAACAATATCTTTTTGATGGAATCCGGGTGAAAAGAACCTACCAATAACTTCAAAATATTTGAAACGAACATAGATAAGATGATGGGGAAGAAAATCAAAGAGCACATTAACAAGAGCAGTATAAGAACATAAGATCTTTTATGTCACTTAAGGATGAAGTATTACTGAAAAAGGAGGCCTTCTGATGAGTACTAGGGAGTATCACATGTTTCTGTATAGTTCACATGCTTATAAGATGTTTATAAGCAAAACAACTGCAAGCATTAAAGGAATTGAAGGCTTCTTATATAAGGTGGGATCTGGCATCACATTGATACATCATTTTTTCATAGCTTATAGTTTCCATAATTATTTTCCTAATAGATCACCTTCTAGGCAAGCCTGACTATCATTTTGCTTCCTTGTTTGCTTGCTTTGTGCATAGGATTAGCTATTGATTCAGTTAGGCAAAGTTGAGATTAGGTATTGTAGGCTACAGCTGCTATTGGTTCAGTCAGGTAGAGTTGAGATTTGGTAGTGTAGCCTACAACTGTTTGAACTTGACTTGGGTGTGTTCCATACAACAAACTAGGTCAAGCTGGTCAGTTATGGTTGGCTAGGTTATGGAACACCATGCATATGCTATAATGTGGCAGATAGATTTAAAATCTGGTTTGCATAGTATGGGTTTGCGATCATTGGCATTGTTACTTTCTAGTAACTAGTTTTTGATAGCTGTGTTTCTGATAACTTTTCGAGCATTTTCATGGCTCTAATCATATATCATATTCCTTTCATGATGAGCTAGTGCAATGAATTCTTCTCATTTGATTTCTGACATGAAAATCAACAATATACAAGTGTTTACTTTTATTTGACATTTCTTTGGTCACACATGGTCAATTTTGGGCACACTGTCAGTATGGTCGGCCACAGGATTTTTTCAGAAACAAAAGGGAATTCTTGGTCTGTTGCTAATTTGAATTTTGCTGTTCTGTTCCACAGCATTGTTGTCATATTTCTGGCATTTCATTTTCAAACTTTGAGGTACATTGTTCTTTATTTTTTGTTTGTATATAATGTGATGAATATCTATGTCAACACTGTAATCAATGATTGCTATGACATTACTGGTCATGTATGCATTAGCAGGTCAGACATTTTTAAGGAATGTCGATATGCTAGCTTCGAGCCTGTGAGCTTAACTGTGTATGATCACCATGGACTGTGCACTGGTGCAGTCACATATGTGCTAAATCTGTATATTTTACCAGATAAATCTAGGCTTTGCTGTGGCAAATCTGGAATCATCTTGTTTGCAAGTAGGGGTTGATTCTGACTTTGAATGTGTTGACCATGATGAAATATTATGGCCGTAGCGAGTTCTTTTTCCCATCTTTGAGAAGGCAATGAAATCGATTCTTTATCAGGATATTAAAGAAAGATCAACAAGTATCGTTTGTCATGCATAATTGCATCTCTAATGTATATGTTTTTATATTGTGTGATTCGGTCTCTCTTTCTAAAACCGACGTGCCCGCCTAGGCTCCCGCCAGTGCGGGGTCTAGGGTGGATCAAAATATACAGCTTTACCTCTAAATATAGAGAAACTGGTTCCATGATTCAGTCTCTTACTATTTTCCTATTTCAAACTCACCTATTACATGGGAAAAATAACTGCAGAATCCCAGATCCTCACATTCAAGAAGTGGTTATTGCTTGAATGGTTAGGACCGAGAAAGATTGTGCCTCAGTTTCTGCTCCTATGGATATAGAAGTTTAGACATTAAGTGATAAGATATTTTTTCTTTGTTTTAATGAATCTGAACACAGTTCTTTTCTTGGTAGAAAAGCCAGGGGTTGGAACTTTGGAGCTTATCAAGAGAAATACTGCATCTGTTTTTGTTAAAATTTGCATAAATGGATGTGATGCAAAGCTTATCAAGAGAAATTCTGCATCTTTTGGTGTTAAAATGGTAATGCAAAGTACAATCATCCCTGCAATGATCTTTCCTTGCTTGCTAGCGTCATGATATAGTGTTTGATTTATTAGTTGTATACCTTTTTCCGTTTGGCTGTAATTACCACTGTGAAAACTGATTTAGGACCTTGAAGGAATTCATGCCTGCTAATGTGCATCAGACTGTTGGAGTATCACCTAGTTTGCTCATGGTAATGTCAACATACTCTTCATGCTCCTTGGCTACTATTTGGCATTTCAGAATCAGACGGTCTTATATGAGATAATGTTGCTGGCCCAGTTTAAGCTATGATGTTGGCGCAAACTGGAACTCCTCTCAATCAAGTAAAATTATTGTGGTAGTGTCTTTTTCAGGTAATGAGAATCCCACATGGGCCTTTTGAATATATTCCTTAATTCCTAGGAAATGTCATTTTTCTTTTCTTAGTTAGTTTTTACCTGCTCTTGCAATTTTGTCACTGAAGGAAATATTGAGTAGTCGATGCTGTCCGCGGTTGCATGTCTAGCCTGGTATTATTTTCAAACTTACATGTACTTGTGGTCCTTTACATTGCGGGCTGGCATCTTCTGTCGTCTACAATCTTAAAACAGTACTGAAAATAGAAAACATTTACAATGTGGTTTCAGATATGGTCCCATAAGCTTGTTCATCATATCATTGCCGCTAAGAGATATGGAATTTAAGTTTAGGTTCACGTGATAATTTCCTGATTTGATTTCAGATTATGTTTTACCAAAGGAAGTCTATCGAAGCTGCTTTGGACGCTTGCAGATATTAGACGCATTGGCAAGGAGAAAGGGCAACCATTGCTCAACTCGAGGTAAGGGTTCTGATCGCCATTTATCATGGATATTCGCATGCTCTTTTTCTGGCCCATTTAAATTGGCAATCTAACCGGTTTAACTGGCTTAGTTTGTATATTAATTGGGGCCTCATAATTGCATGAACAACTTAAGGTGGCCAAATAGAAGTGTGCTGGCTCAATCATGCGATCTATAGCTGAATCAACAGACCGTTGACCTAGTGTTAAGTTTTTCCTTGGAGTTCGTAGCGTCAGATAGTTGTCGAGGTAGTGCTCGGGTAAAAGACTTGCTATTTGTTTAGATGGGTTTGCCTCCTATTTCTTCACATGCACTAGGTACTGATATGCACAACCACATTCGCATTTGCCTGGTCCATCCATCTTTTATTACGCGGTACAACATCTAGTTAACGCCGGCGTGACCAGTGAATAATTAGGCTTTCCAATGCGGGGGCTTATTGAGCACCAAATATTCGAGGACCACTTCTCTCCAAAGTCTTTTACAGATTGCAATCTCCAGATTATACGATTAGGTACTGCTTTTGCTTTACATCACAACTCACAGGTGAGCACAAAGCACCAACGACAGATGGAAACACTTTGAGATCGTCATCAAGCCTTTCGTTTACGCCATCCCCAGGGGCCAGCCTTTCATCATCATTTGCCACCACAGAGTGCTTTCAGATCCAATCTGTTGACAGCCAGGTAAAAGTACTGCAGAGATCCTCTTCTCCCTTCCACAACCAAGAACTTCTCCCTCGGTCCGCCGTACCACTTTCTTCTCAAACCTGAGTGCTCGACAACATGGTGGCAACATACCCCTCTTTGACTTCATCAGCACAGTAAGAAGTTGGTCCCCTCCTTGGGCCACTGCTTCATTATTAGTCCAAAGGACTGTCCTTCCCCTTCTTTTATCATCAACTTCATACAGAGACTCTTTCAAATTAAACTGGTCCCATGCTAAAAAGAAGGCAATGAGATCTCCTCTTAGATCTTGAGTCCTTGTCTGTGGTGCTGGTGGATTCTTTGCTAGATTGCATGCTGGTGTGGGTCAAGTTCTAAGAGGGAGCACGGTGGGGGACGATCACTTGGTGGCAAAGGCGTGGTAGATGTAGTGTTAGCAGTTCAGAGTGGGTGGCGGTGGTGGTGGTGGTGACCTCAACAAAGACTTGGAGAGTTAGAGTGGATCTTTCGGCTACTAGGATCCAATAATGGAACCACTTTTTTAAACGAGTGCGTGGGTGATGTTTCTTGTCTGGTTGCGTTTAACACATGTATTTGCAATTTTCCACCATGCATGCTAGATTTATGCTGGTTGAGACCAAACTAGGGAAAGATATGGTTGCTATTGTAAAACCTAAATCGTTATCATCTTCACTAGTGTAGTAACCAGGTCTACACAACCCCACTGGGCATATTTCCACGTGTGTTACGTGGTCTTTGATGGAAAAGTCAAAAGGATCAGTGACCGGCGTATAGCCTTTAGGACGAAAATTTTGTGGCATATGATGTATGGTGAAGGATACATCGGCGAGGGATTTGAGGCCTTAATGTGGCGCGGTGTCTTGAGCATGTCGATGGGCGCGAGCAAGGATGCGTCGGTCTCACTCCGAGACCCTTGCCGTGGTCCAACCCATCGACGCATGTCTGCCATTGTATCCGATCCTGATTTGAGCACAATTTTTGGCTTATGGTCTATAATCTGACACGAATTCATTTTTTGTGTCACTGATCAACATCATCCCAGATGTTGCTACGGTCAAAATAGGGCTGTAGGAGTGTCGGAAGCTGATGATATAGCCTCATTGTGTGTAGAGGAATCAGTTTTTGTAATCCTCGAGCTATCTTCATGCTGTCATAAGATAAATGAACGTGGAAGCCAGCAAGGTTTCCCATAAGATAAAATCAGTTTTAGAACATGGAAGAGTTCAAAGGTCTCGTGGAACCAGTTTGTGTCATACACACGTCTCATTTTTTTTATTGCTGATCATCAATTGTTCTCATCTTGTCGTTCATCTCATCGAAGAAGCTGATTGTTTCTAATCGATTGGAATGTGAGTTACTTGAGCTTCTGCCTCTCATCCATGTGTGAGGGCCATTCTCCCTTCCATGCCTTCAACCTACCTTTTTCTGTATCTATTTTGCCGGATCTTATGCTCCCACCATGTAGTGATCCCCTTTCTCGCCGCCACGTTTAGCGTGGTGCAGAAGAGGGGGGAAACAAGAAAAGGCCATAACACTGGAGAAGCCTTGGCCATGTCCCAAGCTTGATTACATAAGAAAATTAATATCTCCTACCCTTTGCGCTCTCTTTCTCTCTCTCTCTCTCTCTCTCTCTCTCTCTAGTTCGAACTACGTGGTTCGAACTAGTTCGTCGACACCATTGGAAGGGAATGTTGTACGAGATGTAACTATCCAAACTGCGTCACTTGGGTTCCAAAGAGTGGCATCTATTCGGTTGCAGTGTTTGCGGCTTAGATAAAAAGTGTGACCGGAGTTAATTAATTGGAGTGGGAAAAAGGAGCGACTGATAGATTATTTGGAATGGAAGGATGACAACAATCCCTGGTTCACCGTTGACTTGCCTTCATTGCTTTTAAGGAACTATACTAGATAAATAACCAGAACAAACACCACCCGGCCAATTGATTTATCAAGGGAAGGAGAGAATGCAAGTAGTGGATGAGTCGGCACAGAAACAGGATTAATTTTATGTACGTAAGTTTTTAAATATGAAGTCAACATAAGCTTAGTGGGACAAATGTAAAGGGGTATATGTATAAAAATTGCAAGAAAAAGTTATTCGAAGTTGTGGAGAATAAAACATAAAGGAAAGCGATATAAAATCCATTACCGGGGGAAAGAAATGAGAGGAGAGCATAAATGACAAAGCGGAGTGAGCGAGCGAGTGATGCAGGAAAATGGAGAGGGTATAAAACTGGAAAGCACAAGGAAGGTGCGATTGCTGAGAGAGTGGTGGGGGACCCTCAGGAGGCTAAAAGCTTCCAAAGAGGAAGAAGCCTTTCTCCGCACCTACAAATACCCGCCCTCCTCCCCTCCTCGCTCCTTAGCGGCCTTGCGTGACTCCCTCTTCTTGGAAGCACAAACCAACCCGTGGCATCCCTCCCCTAACTCCGTTGTGTTCTCTGCCTCCCGGACCAAGGAAAGCAAGCTTTGGACTTTGCATGTCATCCTTATTTGAGGTAATCAAACTCTTCCTGTCCCGGTCCAATTCCCTCCACTCTTGACCGCAACAGTAGACCTCATCTCCCATCCTATTGAGTTCTCAACCCCTTCTGCCTTTTTTGTTCTCAGTGACACTCGTAATCACTCTGCTTTCCGACCGTCCGGCCAAGGAAAGATGTCGGTGGCTGTCATTCAAAGCTCGCCCGCAAGCTTCAACTTGGGCCACCGCAACTGGCTATCGCCAGCGGATCGATACCGGAGCGAAGAAGACCGTCCTCCGGCGCTTAAGGAGGGCGGCGAGGAGCCTCCCTCGCAATTCGATATATGGAGCGCGATCCAGTCGCAGAAGACGGCCGCTGCCGCAGCTGACCAGCCGGCGACTCCTTATGTTCATCCCCTCGTGAGGCGCTCTTCGAGCTCGCTAAGCCAGAAGAGCCTTGAGATATGCACGGAAAGCCTTGGCTCGGAGACCGGCTCCGACGAGTTCTTCTCCTTCATGGACGACCTACCCTTGCTCGACGATGAAGAGAAAGAAGAGGAGACGAAATATGTCCATGAGAAGCAAGATGCAGCAGCAGAGGCAGACGAGGTAATAGCAGCGGAACGCGGAGAGCGGTCTCCCCGAGGCACGGAGCTGACATCGGTGAACTACCATTGCTCCATTAGCAGGCGGTCACCTCCGAGGTCGTTCCCTCCGCCGCTCCCGTCGATTTCTCGACGCGACGGCCCCTGCTTCCACATGCGGCCTCACCGCTGCGACGGGCGCCTCGTAGTCGAAGCCGTCCCCGTCCCTCCTCAAAACTACCTCCATGCCCGGCGCGTCGACGGCCGCCTCGTGCTCTCCTTCATCGATACCATTTACGGAGACGAGCCCGGTTACGAGTCCGATGCCTCTGACGCTGCCGCTGAAATCACACAAACATTAACAGAAGAAGACGTCGAGAAAGAAAAAGAAGAAGCTACAGAAAGCGAATCAATGGGAATAACACAGTTAGGAGTGAAAGAAGAAGAAGAACTAGAAGGAAACAACCGTTATGGTGGAGAGGAAGAAGAATTAGAGGAAAATAACTGCTACGAAGAAGAGGAAGAAGAAGAGGAAGTGGAAGTCGTCGACAGGGGAACCGTCGTCGAGGTAAAGGTGAGCACGCAACCGCAGCAACAGAGCGGTGCCATGAAGGTTCACCGGTCTTCGCTCGTCATCAACAAGTTCGTCGGAGATATGCCGCTGAGTGGCATGGCCGAACACGAGCCATCCGCGCAGGAGGAGGACAACACAAGCAGCCAAAACAAGCACAACCACACTGTTACATCGGCACCGGCAGCCAGGCGGGCGTCATCGATTACCACCACTGCAGCGGCTGCAGTAGTGGCGGCATCCACGCTCGGTGTCAGCACAGAGAGCCACCACGATCACGGCTACGGCAGGACATGGACAGCGGTCGGGGGTCATCGCCCTCCGCTCGACAACAAGCTGCTCTTCACATCGAAGCGGCGGAACCGCGAAGAGTTGCTGCACAACATGAGGAGGTGCAGCCAACTGCGCAGGCCATTGTTCATATGGGAGCCCTACTGCATTGCCACTTCCTCCTGAGACTCGAGACAGTCTCTCGAGGATCCACCTTCATCCTTAATAGCCCAAGATCGCTGCTGCGGCTGCTGCTACTATTCAGGCTACCAAGTATCAGCATCGCATGACAAAGAAAGACTCACTGTTTGGTTTCCTCTGCATTGTATTGTGGTCATTCTTCTACTGTTATTATTAATTTTTTTGGAACGACCAACGTCCCTTTTTTCCAACCAGTGATTGGATTTGATTTCTATAATGAAAGATTTGGGATCTTTATGATTAGATTGCCCTCGGCGTCGTCGTTGTTTGGTCTTGGAATCAGATTGGTATCTTTGAAGGGGGATACAATCTTTTGGCTGGGCATGACAACACATGTTTCTACCTTGACATGCTGCATATGACGACCCCGCCGACAGGTCTTGTTCTCTCTATTGCAGTAGCAGACCGAGCACGGGGGGTTGTGATGTCAATGAATGTTGGTCTCCTAGTTGGATGTAAATCATAGTCATTGGGTCACTGTATTCTTCGTTCGCGTTGGGATTTCACTTGAGAGTTGCCACACACCCTTGTTCGATGATAGAAACGTAAGACCTTCCCCGAGTGTCCTGAGATTCACCCACTATCTTAATGTTTCATAAATATGATAAATAATATACTCATATTTTTAATTTTTAAGATTAAAATATATAATTTAAAAATATCATTCTTAATGTTTGACGAAATATTAACTGATAAGTATTAATGTTTTCGTTAAGCATAATACAATAAGTCAAATGGAGGTCAGAAACCTCAATTCTAAGGAAGATAAGGTAAAAAAAAGTCAATTGTTTACTTGCTATACCTAAGGTTTTAGTTTTACAGATCATAGGGTGAAATTTTTGGCTACTTTTGAGTCACCAAAACTTTCAATTTATCTTTGATTTTTAGATATATTTTGTATAAATCTCTTATGATTTTAAAACCTCTAGTATGGCTTTTATGGTGCATATAGTTATTCTTATCTTAATCTAAGCTACTCAAAATCTCCTATTTTCTGAGAAAGAGTTTTGTACGAGCTAAATTAGTCCCCTTAGGGATATAATTAGACTCTAAGGTTATGTGAGTTTTAGAATTGAGTAAATACCACTTATGTTCAATAAGATATGAGGTTTATAAATTTAGATAATCCTAATCGAGTTTTAACAAAACATAATAAGTGTTGATAGTTGAATTAGGAGGATAGTTTAGTCTCCAAATGATTTTATTTTAAGCTAAAATTTGATATATATTTAGTTTTATATGTCTCATAATTTTCTACAAAATTTTATGACAATTCAAGATCGTTTGGTTTACTAGAATAGTAAAGTAAATTTTTTTTATAGAATTGTACGATGGTTTGATTAACGTTAGCTAGAGGAAATTGTAAGAAAATTTTATAGTGAAATATAGATAAATTTTTTGATTAAGTATAGTTTATTTTATAAGAGATTTTATCAAATTTTTTCCATGGACTATTGTAATGAATTATTGTAAATCGATAATTCAAGAGGTAGGGTTCTTAATTAGGCCATCTCATGATCTTATGCTCCCAATTTAATAGGTATATCACTTCACAGCATACTTGATCATTAAGGAATGAGGTCTTTTATTAATATCTTTATTTTTGAGTTCAAGTAAGTATAAGTTTAATTCATCGTAAAATAGTGATCATATAAATAATCATATGCAAAATATATTTTAGAAAACATGTTTCAAAGATATAATTATAGTATGGCATGCGATGTGAGAGTACATGTATATATTATAACGTGCATTATAAAAATACATATATATATTATAACGTATGATATGGGAGTATACGTATATATTATGATGTGCAGAGTATGTATATATATTATGATGTACAGTGTGAAAGTACACATATATGTTATTTCGACATAGAAATCCATAAAATTAGCTATGTTTCTTATATGTGCATATAAACATCATAAATTATTTCGACGTAAAATCTTATCTTTTTTATTTTTATATTTTATGTTATAGGATTATGTTTGTTAAAGAAACTAGTGTTTATTGTTAATTGTCTTGTGGCGATGATTTTAAAATATAATATATATGACATATGTTCGCCTAAATAAAGTTATAAAAACTTATACTTAGTGAGTATTTACTCACTGTAAATCATATTTTACAAGTAAGAGTATTAATACTTAATCTAAGTGATTGGATAGAGAAGTAAGCACATGAAAGCCTTTACCAACATTGATATGAATAGATGATGACTTATGGACATTTTACGTGTATAAATTTTGGACATATTATATTTAATTTTTTTTTTGGTTAAATATTATACTTATGTACGGGTGTCAAAAACATGATGTGCAGAAAAAGAAAAACCCTATTAATTTTATTTAATAAATTAATAAATTTTAATTTTAATCTCATCTATTTTTCACGATATTCAGATCATGATGCTCTCATGAACTTTGTAATTCACTTTTGGAGTCACAATCAAATTCCAGAATATAGTAGCTTTATTTAGTGAAACAAAAGCTATCTTTTTTGTTCATGAGGCACAAAGAATTTCATTTATTCTCAGACGATATAGGCCTTTGCCAAAGGCTTTACGCTTCCCTTTTTCCGAGTGCTTTCCTTCTGTGAATCCAATTTAGATCCGTAGTGGCCACAGTTGGTTTATTCTTGCTGTTCGAGTCGAATGTTCTTCCCCTCATATTTACACTAGTCAATGCAACAGCGACATGGACCACCTTGATTCTCCATGAAAAGGGCAATAGCGAAACAATAGCCATTCAGTACTGGTATTGCCAAGTCAAGACAATACACAAAATAGTTCGAAAGAGAGAGGAGAACGAATGGGAAGATTGCGTGGAGCCGAAGCGATCCCTCCGTTTGGTATACTCGAGGACACTCGGATGTTGACCGACTGGTTAGAAGCAGAAATGGTGATGGAGTAAGAACACCGAGTGGTGGAATCCATATTGTGTCTCGGTAGTGCAACATCCATTACCATGAAATGGTAGCAGCAGCAAAGGCAAAAGGAAAAGCAGCATGAACCGGGAGAGGAAGAAGGAAGAAGAACCCGATGCCTTCAGTTTCCCACTCCCCCCCCCCCCTTGGATCTCCCATCAGCAGCTCCCGTTAAAGCTAGTTAAGTATTACCAGCATCCTACTGCTGCAGCGGCTGCTCTTCCTTCCCCCTGGTGGTTAAAATGGGCATTGCAGATTCAACAAGTCATAGTGCAGCGGCAGACGGAGATGAGCGGTAGACAGCGAGAATTTGGTGTACTTTTATAGGTCTCGCATTTTGTCTACTAAGCTTGTTTGCCACACTTTGTTGCACTGTCCTTGTCTGCACGAAGTGATCGGACATCACTCCATCAAGCCCATGGTGACTGCATGTGAACAAGGTGATGGATGGGTTTGAAAGGCTTCGCCCAGTTCATTTACGGGTGATGTAATCTATGACTGCTCGATTGGAGTGATCGAGACTATACCCCCGCAATTATTTAAGAGGAGTGGTCCGATCTCTTCCAAGGTGGCAGACGGCCCCATCGCTCGCAGTGCATGGCTTTTTGTTGATCGAGGCATTAATTGCCTGTGGTCTCTCTCACTGCATTCTATGATTGTTCACCGGTGAACGGTGGAAGGAAATGGTTTCCCAGCAAGCATTAACTGAGGCAGGGGGTGAATGATATCACTCGAACGAAGCAGCTAAAATTGACTCAATGTTCTTCAGGAAGATCGAAAGAAAGAACGGAACGTAAACCACATCTTCCCTTGCCATTCGCTGGTTGATGTTTTCTAAAGCATGATGCCTTCATACGGTTCTTGTGGTATGATCCATAGTATCTGATAATTAAGTGTCAGCATGGAGAAGTCATTGTCGAGTCGATTAATACTCGTGCGGTAACTTCAGTTTCATGCATCGTTTCAGAATAATTGGTCCTGCTAATAATTGTGCGAGGCTGTATCCAGTCGAAGACCATTCTAAATCTTGTTGCTTCGAAGTATGATGTGAGGTTGACAGGCCAACCAAACTCTAATCATGGAGTCTGTGACAAGGAGTCGAAGATGTGAGCCGGGAATGCCTTGTTTCACCACCATCAGACCGTAAAGAGTTCCATGAACTCGAAGATGAAGAAGACGATTGACTTCTCGACCAATCTAATCTCAAGCATAATGTCTTTCCACCATAATGAACGGATAAAGGGTAGCAGTAGTAGAACATCATGACAATCAAGTTACAACAACAACTGCACTCGAGTCCTCATTTTCGACTCTTTCTACCAAGGAGAAATAGTGCCGCTTCTGCAAGACACACTAAATATTGTTATGCAGGCCATGCATTCTGTGTCAGAAACTTATATATATATATATATATATATATATATATATTCATTTGTACCACATATGGCTGTGTGCATATTAATGTGTCCGTACTTAGGTTAACATTACAGCTGAACAGCTGCAGCAGCATGCAAAGTCATAACCAGTCAAAATCAACATGAAAAGTCGGTGTGTGACAAATCGTTCCAACTGTTGAAAACAGAGAACCAAAATTGACCTTTGGTATGATCTCTGAGGATGAAAGAAAAGAGAAATAAAGATCACCAATTATTGTTTGCATGCGTGCTGTGCTTTTTCTTGCAGTGTGATTTGAACTTGTTCGCAAGATCACCAATAAAGATCACCGATCTTTCAAAGCCGAACTTTGACCTTTCTTTGAATCTATAAGAAATCTTGAGATTTCAATGCATGTGATCCTAGTTTCTTATTTATTTTCCAAACCAAAGTTGACTTGTTGATCCGATTGCTCGGTGTCATTTCTGTGTGAGTCAGCAAAGGAAGCTTCATACATCAGGTTGAACTGCTTCAGTACGAAGATGACCAGTGTCGTTGACTTTTCTTAGCCTTCACTCGACAAGACAAGGTAGCTTTGGGCAATGCTGTTGTGTTGGGCCGATCCATTCGGCTAATGGGCCGAACCCAAAGTAGTCAAGATTTCACAGATTGGGCTTGATCATGAATCACAACCCAAGATTTTAACGAGCCGGAACTGTGGGTATGTGGCAATTGATGCTCGTTTCTAATCGCGAGCACAATTCATCCCCGATTTGTGAGGCCCTTTGCTTTATTTATACAAATCGTACAAGTTTAGTCCACACTAATCCATGACATATAGGGTAGTGATCCGATAGAATAACCGGGTTATTGGTCCTTGAACGCTGCAATGTACGTCGGCCAATTGCAAATTCGGATCCGTAGAATGGAAAGATCCGAATCCTATTACGGCCTTGCTATACTCCAACGACCCCTCCCACCATGGAGTCTATATATATAGGGCTAGCATGGGCATGATGTGCGGGGAGATCGGGAGGTCATGGTGCGAGCCGATCCCCCTTTCTCCGCATCTGTCCTCCTCCCCGACCTCTCGCCACCGCCATCGACCTCGAAACTCTCTGCTAGAAGATCTCTCCACGGCGACGCCTCACGTTCTTCCTCCGGTCGCCCGACGCCTTCGTCATCTACGGGGTCTGAAGAACCCTAACGCGTTCTTGCTCCGGTTTCTTTCTCCGTCTAACCTTTTCTTGGATGCAGCGGACGAACTGGTGGGCGCAGTGCTGGGAGTCAGTACGAGTTCCAAGATCGATGTCCAAGATCCATCTTGGACATGTTGGTCCGGGATCAACGTTCTCTTCCTATACCAGGTCCGAACCCTAACACATTTTTGGTGATGTGAGTTCCAAGATTCGTTGTTCTTGACCTAATTTCGCTTCAGACGACGGGATCGCTTTAGATTTAAGAACGAGTAGGCGATTTGTAGTTTCTCCTTCTAAAACGAGATAGAGAGATGCTTCTTATAAAGGGCAGGAGTAATCTTGAATCCTGGCCGACAGAGTAAAGATTGGGGCTAGAAGAAGACGCGACAGAATGCAGTCGAGATTGAGGATCATCATGCTTGATCATAAATGGAGATACAACATTTGGTAGCTCCGACGAGAGGAACCATGTTTGTGCTCTTAACTCGGCTATACATCATGATCCTTTCACTTTTACTTTGTTGCATGCGCATAATTCGAATTATATAAGTTCTTTAGCTTTAGAGATTAGGGGTTCTTGAAGCTCAACAATAAAGATTATTTCGTGCATAATATTGAGGAAGCATTAGTCCCGCAGTAGAAGGTGATGTTTGTTAGGATAATAACAGAACGTACTATAGCACATCGAACTAAAATTCCAGATGTTGTTTTGGCTGATAACATGACCTATCATAGTTCCGAGCCCTATGATAGATAACTTGAGAATGTGTACAAGTAGTTCTTCACCATGGAGGATTCAGGTCTATTATGAGAGATGAGTTTTAGGCAAAACAAATTAAGGAATTCTATCAGTGTGAAGTGGGTTCTGAAAGATTTCTATTTCTGAAAACGAAACAGAGACGATATAGGGAGGGAAATTCCTCTAATGATCGAAGACATACCGACTGTATCCGTCTTGATGATCGTTTGCTTGATGTTTGGTAGTTCTGCAATGTTGTGTTTCCATGGGCATTGCGCAAAATAATTTTCAAGAAAGTATTGCCCGAACGAAAATGGAGCATTAACAAAACTTTTGTTAATTAAGCCTATGTTTGATGTTTGTAGATAGGAGATTGATTAAAACAGCTGAAATCTCATCCCACTTCATGCATAAATTATACTTTGTTTTTCTGATGCAGCTGTTTCTCTTCTGTGGACAGAAACTAATTGTTCTGTTGTTCAACAAAACTTTGATGGAATAATTAGCCACGGAGTTTACTTCTTTCTTTTGCATTCATCTGGAGTCGCTGACTTACGTTTTGGTGAGAAGATGGGATCAGAGCAGGGTGGTACGTTGCACATGAAAACTTGGAGTTGGTAGTAAGTTCCCCTCCTTTATGGATTAATGGTATGCATTCGGGCAATCCCTTTTCTTGTGAACTATGAGTATTTTGAATCAGGGAATAAGTTGAAGTGGTTGGATCATCCCTAAGGACCAGATTTCTCTGCACGGTAATGCTTTCTTCAGTTATAATGACATCATGTTATATATATATATATATGTATATATATATGTGTGTATGAATTGTATTGTCCTAGTGTCTTCGTGAGTAAAATATGTTATTGAAAAGTGGTTTAACTATATATGTGTAGAAATGATGAAATACCATTGAGATAACATTAGACGTCTCATGAAAATATATCATTGAGATAACATTGGACGTCTCATGAAAATCGATGTGGGTGTATTCAAGTATTTTGATCATGACTTATACGAAGAAGATTGAGATTGAGAATAAATTTTTTGATTCGATCTCTCGCTCCAGTTAGTTTGGATGTGAGATGAAGTGAGTTAGAATTGATAAAAAGGTGATTGATCTTTGATTTCTATGTTGGAAATAAACTTTTATAGGGTAGAGGAAGTCTTTGATAGTTCTTTTTAAACCCTTGTTCACTTAAATGATAAAGAGAGAGACACGTAATCATCTGTTTTGAACTTATTTCCACGCATTTAGACCGACATAATGTACAGCGGTAAGAAGACCACCGCGTGTGGGCAGGTGACATCACGGACCAGAAGGGGGCCTACTGGTGCTAAACACATCGGTACTGGTAATAAATCGAAACTCTTTTCTTTTTTTCTCTTTATTTTTTTTTATTCCCCTCGTTACATCATGGTGATAGGGGGTCCGGTAAGCTCAGTGCAGAATCTTCTGTACACTTGAGCTCGCCCACTGTGGATTTAGCTTCTAAAGCTTTTCTTATTGCAATCTGGAGGGACAGTTACAGTGAGGATATCTATATTTCATTTGATTAATTATTTCCATTTTTCTATATGCCGCTGCCGTCTCTGCTCTTGTTTGGTCGTGTGGTCGGGAGGAAGCACGAACTAGCTTGGTCTGAACGTGGCTTTAAGCTACTTGCAAGGTTGCGCTTTTAGTATATATATATATATATATATATATATATATATATATATATATATATATATATATATATATATATATATATATATATATATATATATATATATATATATATATATATATATAT